CTTGGGGCCCCCCCCCCCCCCCCCCCCCCCCCATGGAGTATACGTGTATTATGCCTAGGGCGTTAACTAAAGTAAAACTGTACTTACGCTTTACGCGTTTCCTAGCGGAAAGTACCGCACCATGACATAGGCGTGAAAACCTACCAAATGTTTCTAGAAAGACTGATATAATCACGTTTTATAATTTAAAAATAAAAAACTGTCTTTAAGCAACTAAAAAATATTATAAGAAAAATGAACAAAAGAACGTTTCAAAACTAACACTTACAGGTACAGACTACCAGCAATTGGCAAAGCTAATCGGGGCAGGTAGTATGGAGACGTATCACTTAAACTTAAATTACAATCAGTTGATACAAAGGGATTTTACTGAATCAGGCATAAGAAATTCGAAAATCTTCCGTCAGTATCTGGGAGCGTAAAGAGTCACGTCCTGTCATCACACGCACATGCGCAAGACAGACATCAGGGTCTAAGACGGACAATTAGTGCAAGCAGTCCCAAAGGTGATCGTCTAAGAGAGAGTTGACTACATCGTAATTTTTTTGTCTGTGATTTAAGACATGTAATTTTAATATAAACGCCAACCTCGAAAAAACGCCCAGGTGTTTAATCGATAACGTTGACGGTAACGGGCTTCCCGCTCTGATGACCTCTTTCGTACCTAGCCAGTTATTCGATTTTGTTTTTCTCACCAAGGCGCCTTGATATGGTACCTTAACGCAGTTTTTCTAGTATTATTTGGGAGTTTAAGATACCACGACGGCGAAGGCGGCAAATGCCTCGCTTAAAAAGTGACTTGTCGATCTATGAAACTTTAGCGCAATTAACCCCAACTCGGTTACTATGTTTTACGTAGGCGAACTCTCCTGGAGTTGAATTCTTAAAGAAAAAAAGTTTAAAAAGAGGAAGAGAGATTCGTCGTCGTATGTTCACGTTGTCGATAAAACGTGAATTAGGCAATTCACGTCCTAGTCGTGCAGTGACGGCAAAGAAATGTACAAAAAAGCGTGATGCATGTGCAGAGTTGTTGTTTTGCTAATCTTAACCAGTTACTCTTTGACGTTCTCGTTGTCGTCGCCGTAGTGCCATCTTAAACTCTTTATTATGGTTCTATAGTCCCGACTGACGAGCCACCCTGCCGCCCCACTAAAATATATACCTTTCTGATTCGTTTTTTAAGACAATCACCAGGCTTACGAGCCATCAAGCCACCGAGACACTTGTATGTCTCATATCTCTCTCGTTCTTTAAACACTTGTCATGACTAACGAGCCACCGAGCCACTTCTAGCTGTTTAAGACCTTAAAGACCTAAAAAAATAGCAATGTATTTTCCTGCAAGCCTCAGACTGCTCAGATTCATTAGTGGTAATGGGCATGTACTGAGGAATAAACGATTTTTTTTCTGATAGTTGTATAAAATGGGAATGTACGGACCAGAGTTTGTCTGGATTTTAAACCCGAATGTTGGAACCGTAGATGAGTGGGTCATTCATGCCAACAACACGAAAAACAAGGTAGAGACTCAGGAACAGCTATGCAACAAGACGCAATACCAGAAAGCTTTAAATAGAGCATTCACATTTAAGGCACTCACGATAAGGGAGGACGACAACTTCACTACCTCATCAAATCTGGTAAGAATATTTCTTTTCGTGAACGCTCCTTCAGTAGATCTGATATAGTACACTTGCAGCGTTGAGGTAAGCTTCCAGGTTATTTGTTATGATCCAAATTCACAGTAATTTAGATGACCAATTGAAAGATAGGTATTTGGCAAGAAATGAGCTAATTTTTGATTTGTCGTACTTCCATTTGCAGACAGTATCTGAGGCATTTTCAAGATTGGACATAAATGATCTATCGAGCGATAAAACGAAAAACCTGGCCACAACTTCGTTTGATGCTATGTGGGGCACCATGCTAGCCATAAAAGGAGCTAGTGAAACAAAAAACGTTTCTGATAAATTGGGAAAGAACACGTACTTCGAAAGTCAGGAAGTATCTAAATTTCTGGTAAAAAAACTCACGGAGTTGAACTTTCAAGGACTAACGGTACGTTTTACTTTTTACTGTTTTATTTTCTATTTTGTGAGAAAGGCGTGGGAAAGATGATTGAACTTAACTTGCCTCAAAGTATTTTTGTCATGATTTTTAGTAGGTAATTCTGCTATTTCGTCTTCGCATAGCCGTGAACTGTTTGGCATTCTCTTAAGTTCTACACTCGTAGCAAAACAGCTAAGCTGCCAAGTAGACTAAAGTCGCTTTCTTGCGAGACGTCAATGACGGTATAATCACACATTTCAGTGACGTTTGAGGAGTGACTGTTGTTAGTGATGTTTACTGTTGTTAGTAATCTATAAATCTAAGCATCTTCTATCTTCATCTTTGGTCTTTGAATGAATAATAATAACAATAAGCTAATGTAAACTAATATCTGAAAGACCATCCCGTCTTAATGGCATATTTGAGGAGTTAGGTCTCATTTCATTATACCTCTAACGCATTACTTTCCTAGAGTGTCCCTCCCGCAGTAGAACCAGGTTTTTTTAAAATGGCCTTTTGGTGATCAGTGCATTCCTTCACTGAAGAGGAAAAAAAGACCTTAACCTTCAGGGGGCTGTGACAGTTGTAACCGCCACTCGACCAGCCCTATGAGAGAACACTCGAAGAGTCAAAATGCTGTAAACGAGAAATGTAAAATCATGCAGCGCCCGTGAAATAGACAATGCGATTTGTGACTATTTCCAACTACTTACATATCCCTAGTGGCAAAACAACTATTTGAACGGATCTATCTTCAAGGTATTCTGCAGTGTCCTGGCCCCGTCGTCAATTAAAGCCTCGTGGCTATAAAATTTACAAGAATGAAATATATTAGTATGTTACATATTTATTAATTTCCAGGGCCCAGTGTCTTTCAACCCAGACAAAAGGAGAAAAGACGTTGTTATTGTTCTACAGCAATACCGAGGTATAAATTATAAGAAATTTACGGTATACTCATTTTCTAAACTGCATGCAAGAATTAAAACTAAGGACCGGTTCATAGACCGGACTTTTCACGATCCGAACCTAAAACAAAGTACAGTCGAACCTCCACGTGCGACCACCTCCAGTAGGCTACCACCTCCCATAAGCGACCACCTTCCCAAAAAACCAAAAATATTCTCAGTCAAAGCCTTATACTGGAATCTCTCGTAAACGACCACCTCCCGTAAGCGATCGCGACCACTTTTTCGGCTGACAGTTTAGAAATGTCTATTGTTTTCAACCTCCGGTAAGCCGCCACTTGGCACATGGTCTTACATTGTAAAAATGGGCAAAAAGGAATTTATTCTTTGGCTGTCATTATTGTGTACACATCTATTACTGTGTTCATTAGTTCGATCTATAACTACAGTACTAACTATTACCCTTGAGAAAAAGACCCAGATTTCCAGGTTTCAGTTAAAGAAGTAAAGTTTTTGTTCGTCAGACGTTTTAGAGGCATTTCTTTACAAGAAGTCACGTACACAACCAAGATTTTGTAACAACAAATTTGTAACGCGCGTAATCTAATTTATACTGCTACATGAGAAATTTCTGCAATTTGATTGGCTTAGAGCAGTGGTATTTCAGCTTAATTTGAAATACGTACATGTGAAAATTACAAATCTTGTGCGGGTAGTAGTATAAACAAATAATAGCACGATTTGTACGTGATATTTGGCATAAATACTACTTGTGATATTTCAAAATTGTTTCAAATTTCACTTGCCTAACGGCTCGTGAAATTACATATAACAATTTCGAAATATAACCCGTGGTATTTATGCCAAATATCACTACAAATCATGCTATTACCTATACTAATTGCCCTTCCGTAAATGAGCTGTCACGTAGAATAGCTAATAATTTTGTCAATAAAACTACCAGTAATTGGCAGTGGAAAGTAAACTTTCGTTATTTTTTTTTAGAATAAATGTACCACTCTATTCGGCTAGGTTGAATTAAAAATTTCGCCCTTGCGGTCATTCCACTCTTGTAAGCGACCACCAAGCTTAACCTCTAAGTCCCAATATCAACATACAAATTCTCCAAACTGATCCTCATACATTTCCTTTAAGAATTAGTTGAGAGAATTTAATAAAAGATCAAAGCATTTTCTCTTTGTAGATCATTTGTTAATTCTCATAACCTTATCTCTTGACAATGTATGGATATTGTTAGGAGAAAATTGATGTTGGTCACCATTGGGACTTTAAGGGTTAAGCCTTAGCATTTTGGGCGGTCGCTCGCTTACGAACTTGGGGCCCGTTTCTCGAAAGGCCCGGTAACTTTTCTGGCCCCAAATTATATATTCGAATCAAAATGTGAAGAGTAAAAGCGCGGGATATAGCTGACAAACCAGTCCTTTTTGTTTTGTTAACAGATAGTTTTATCGAGTTTATCTGCAAAACTATTGAAACCTCGATCTTGAATGTAAACAGCAACAACTTTCCGGGCCCGTTAATTATTGGGACTTTCGAGAAACGGGTCCATGGTGCATTAATTATGAAAACGTATTTTGCAAGCAGTTTTACCGAAATGAACATTTTTCTCTTTTTGAATTTACTTCGACCGGAATTAAGATTGGTGTCTGAATCAATTCACCCGGTCTAAATAATTTGGGTCGGCCTTAATTCCAATTAGGTTGGGCTCATGAAAGTTCGGCCTCTGAGATGGGCCTAAGAACTAAGAAATATCTAAATCCAATACTTTAATTCGTAAATGAGTTTATTTGCATGCGCACGAAGCACCATTAGCCTGGGAGGCAGGCCTTGAAATGAAGTGTTAAACAGACCTCTCCCTTTTCTCCTTTCACTTTAGTTTCTCCCCCTACCCCCCACCCCCTTTCTTTGCCTCCCCCTCTCCATTTTGGCTTTGCCACGCACACTAAGTACCATGGGGAAGAAAATCTGATTATCTATCCATGCGAAAATTATTTTGTCACTTGACCGTCCATTTTAACATCGGATCATTCCATCCTTATCAGCTAGTCAGCCTTTATGTATTGCTACAGTGAAGGATATCATTCAATTTCTGTTATTATTATTATTATTATTATTATTATTATTATTATTATTATTATTAGATTATTGTAATCATTATCGTTATCATTATTAGGTAATTTATGTAAATAGCGCACTGAAAAAAAAGAAAGATGGCGAAGATTGAATAAGCTTAATCCTCTCCATTTTTTCTCATCTTTCACACTCTGTGAAATCTTTGCCGTGATTGGATATTTAAACCTTTTTCTGACTTCACTATACAGCAGACTAAGTTTTAGCTTAAGTTCAGGTCACATTATCCACACAAATGATATAAATTTCACTGAATTTTATCGCAGATAAAGAAAACAAATGGGTGAACGTTGGTGAATTCTTCGAAAATGAAAGTGGTCAATTAACCTTGGAATTTTATGAAGGCATGGAAAAAACATTATGGAAAGGTATGTTTATAGGCCATTTCCGAGTTTAAAAACTCTCTCGTTCAAAACGAAGCTAATTGCAAAACCTTTTTTTGTGAAAAAAAGCTTTTGTTTGCATGAGATCAAAAATAAAAAGAAAATCATTTTCATGTCAATGGCTTTATATTTTGCCTCGTTTTAAAACAGAGGCTTGGGGCAACTCGAAAATCGCCTCCATGAAGCGGCCACCTCCACGGTGCCGGCAAATACAAAATAATCTCTGGATTTCCCATTATACTCTCATGTAACTTGTGTTCAGTTCAAAGGTTCAGACTTAAGAAGTACTCATGCATAGTTTGCTGATGTGTTTTATAACTGGAAAACCTTGATAAACCATCAGACCAATAGATATTTTATTAACTGTATACTAATCGGCCTCGTGTTTTGCTCAAGATGGACGTGTCCCAAGCGACAGATCGCAGATAATAAAGCAGCGAATGGATACTCCGCGTGCGCTCTTCATCATCTTCTCAACGGTGGCCTCCTTTGGTATAGTTCTAGGGATCATTTTTATAGTATTCAATCGCTACTACCGCGATTGCAAGTGAGTTTCATGCACTCTTTAATAAAGGAGCAAGATAGATGTTTTTCCAGGGTGGGGAGATACCCCCATATGTAAACTACATTGGTATTTATAAAATAACTAAGATAGTACTCGCGCTCTGATTGGCCGAGAGGAGTGTTTGCATGAGAGTATGTAAACATGGTTGTGGCGTCAAGTTGTTTGGCTTTTCGCGCGCTAATCACGCAAGCACGAATTTGAAAAAGTTTTCGAGTTCAAAACTCGACAAGTTTACTGTATTTACCCATTTCTTCGTCGGCTGAAACATGGAAAATCGTTACAAAGAAGGTGAGTCAATTTTTCTTCGCTTTAGCTGACATTTTAAGCGAGAAAAATCCGTATTTTGCAAAGCATCTTTTTGCAAAACAAGAACTGATTACGCGTGCAAGACTTCGTGGACAAGATTTTGCGACTGGTAAGAATTTCTCTTTTAATCAGTGCCATACAAAGAGTTTTGCGTTTTTTTCTCGGGAAAGTTATTTTATAAAAGCAATAGAAAACTTTTTTCCTGTGTTTGCATAGCCTGATATAAACACTCGAGGTGTTGGGAGAATTCTCGACAGTTATGCAAACCCTCGCCTTCGTCTCGGGTTTGCTTAACTGTCTCGAATTCTCCCAACCCCTCTCGTGTTTATATCAGGTTATGCGAACACGGAAAACGTTTTCTTTTGCTTAAATCCTGGCTTAGAACCACTGCGCACACACGGGAGCCTATGACACTAGTGATGGACTCCTGGCACACATCAATCCAAAACGGATTCGGAAATAGTGTAGACCTTCGCAAGAGTTATGGCGGACGTTTCCTGAATGGCTTTTTAAAAAGAGTTTTCTACGGAATACAAAGTGTCGCAAGAGGTGATTGCAGTTTTTAAAAGAGCACGATCGATACCGGAGAAGATTGGCTAAAGTTAAAACAAATAGTACGGTTTTGGATCATGAACTTCAGAGTTTAAAAACAAAGGAACGGCCAGTTTCTTAAACGACTTCAAACCTTTTGGTACAGTTCTGCCTTGTCTTCCACTAAACCTCAGGTTTCCGCAGATTCTTTTAACAAGAAAGTGATCGATAAAAGTCAGCTGCGCTCAATGCGCGGTGACGTAAATAACCCACAGTGCTTTTCGAAAAGAGTAGGGGACGTAGATGGGGGAAGGGGGCTGTTACGGGCCTGCAGTTATGTAGTTCTGTTGCGGTGACCCTTCCAAAAATTGGAAAATCTTAGTACATGAATAAATAAATAAATACATAAAGACCTTTGTCAAATGTTTGAAGGGGTAGAAATATCATGTGATGCAGTGACTGACCGAAATTTAATGGCATGTGAGGTTCCACGCATAAAGTGTTGGATGGCAAAAATTATACGGTTAGGGTCGGGTGAAGCTTAATTTATTGAACAAGTCACCCCAAACTCAAATCCTTATCACATAATTTATGCCATTTCTCAGGTCATGAGGAAACTCGATCTTTTCTCTTTTTATACTCTCAAAAATGAAAAGCAACGAGTATCAAGAAATGTTTACCGGTTTTCTTTTCGCAGTTATGCAGACCTAACGCAAATGTTGGCCTTTTTTCTAGATTTATTAGTCTATCTGTTCCGATGTTCAATGATATCATTGTATTGGGATGTATCATGTGTTTGAGCACAATATATTTATTTGGAATCCGGAAAGTCAACGATGCCAATAGAACCATGCCACGTATTTGCAAGGTGAGGAGTGACGTTAATTTCATGTGGTTATCTACCAGTCAAACCCATAACCGCCCCCTTACCCCCCCCCCCCGGGGGTGGGGGGCAAGGGGGGCGAAAAGGATTTCATAATTCTTTCAGCATTCAGCCTGTGCAACGCGTTCACGGGTCATTGTTCATACATTCACTGTTTTGTTGGAGCATTTGAGAAGCCCGTTAAATGAGAGCTTTCTGGAATGAACAGTTTTTTGAAATGAACAAACCTCCGTAAGATAGCTTTCGGAGGCTTAATTAAGATATTTTGATTGTGCTAAATAGGATATTCATATTTGAATAAACGGTTTGACGCATGGGGAAATTTTTGAACAGCTGTCCGTGGGTTGGGAATTTGACGCTTTTTCAAGCGCTAGACGTTGGATCATGCTACCATCTGAACAGCACTATACCAACTCACCAGGAAATTTAACCAAAAAAATCAAATGCCTAGGGGGTTTGCCGGGGGGGCATGGGCGGTTTTGGAATTGACTGGTACATAACTGTGGTAGTGGCAGTGTAACGGACTCCCATAAACTGAGCCAAGAGCTATTCACAGCCGATGAAAGGAGATTATCTGAGTCAGACGACTAACTTACGCGCGGTCTTATATATATATATATATATATTAATTTTAACTACTCTCAGAGATACTATCTGTTTTTCTTTTAATTCTTTAATTCACATCAGAAACTCATCTGTTCACATTTTATGATGTATCTTATTTTTTTCAGGCTCGCGCGTGGCTCTTGAACATAGGATTCTCCTTGGCTTTTGGAGCCATGTTTATCAAAACCTGGCGAGTTTACAAGATTTACAAAAACATACGTATGAGAGTCGGTGTAAGTGTATCAAATTTTAAAATTGCTAGCAAAAAAAACTTAAAAAATATATTGGAACAAAAAAATTATTGGATTCGGTTTCGTATGATCTGAAGAATTGCGCTGATCTCGTAATTCTTCAAATCCTAATCAGCCTCAACCAATAATTGCTTACCGTATTTATTCGATTAAGCGCCCAAACTCGAATAAGCGCCCATCCTGTAGGGAAGAAAAGTTAACAAGCAACTAGCCTCGAATAAGAATCCATCCCACCCACTACCATCTCGCCCAAAAAACTGAAGTGGACAAGATAGTTGTTTATCATTTCCCTACTGCCCATTATACTTATCGTCGACTGATCCATTTGCAGACGTTACGCTTTGAAAAATCGACGAAGCAACACGAGAGAGTTCGCTTATTGACCTCACTGACAATGAGATAGAAATTGACTAGGTTGTATTAGGAGACTTCCCTGAGAACAAAGTTCTTAGTCGTTTTTAAATAAACTGAAATAAACGGTTACAAATTCTGCTTTGCCACATCTTCACGTTTTTTTATTATTTACTGTTTTGTTGGGAAATTAACTTAGTACTTGCTAAAAATAGCGAAAATTTAATAAGCGCCCACTCTCAAGGCTCAGGAATTTTATAACTGTCATAAACACAGAATCCTTAGTTCAAATCATGAATAAGTGCATTCTCTCCGCTATACAATGGAAGTTGTTTGACTTGCTAATATCTAAAATGTTCCAAATTTATCAGTTGGGATTGTCTGATTGGCGGATTCTGGCTATGGTATTTGGGATCGTTGTGATTGACGTGGTGCTGTTAGTGGCTTGGGAACTTACAGACCCGCTCCAACATGAAGAAGCAGTCGTGGACAAGAAGGTTAGTGGACAGATTACAACCTGCTCCAACAAAACTTTTTCAGCGTATATCTTACACGATATTAGCACTTGTTGAGAGGTGCTTGTAATGCTGATTTCAGGTTTATGAAATTGCTCTATTCATGTGCTTCGAATTTTTACTGTATGATTTCATGCGGTGAGCGTATATGGCCACATTCACAAAATGTTATATTTCTGTAATCTTTGGAGGAAAATTAAACTGGGATCACATGGACTTTGAAGCTTCCAAATAACAGTCAGTAACTATAAACACTATTCACGATCTGAAATAACGCGTACGTGCTCTCCCGGAAAAGTGACCAGGTCCTTGGTATTGACGATTAATACTTGTATTTTCGGTTTTCATTGCAGAATGATCCAGGGGATCACCTCAAAATAATATCTACAATAAATACATGTACGGGGAAAAATATGGAAATGTGGCTGGCATTGATTTATGTTAGCAAGGGAATTCTTTTGCTTTTCGGGCTGTTCCTCGCTTATGAGACAAAAAATGTCGTGTATGCGCATTTGAACGACTCGCGAATCATTGGAATTTGTGTGTACAACGTGGTTTTGCTGTCCACTGTTGGGGCGTTCTTGGCTCTAATTTTGAAGAACGAACAGTATGTAGAGTCATACTCCGCACTGAGTGTGTGTATATCTTTCCCAGCTGCAACCACTATATCGCTGATCTTCATACCAAAGGTAAAACCTGATTTATTTGGCCATTTTCAACAGATAATTTCATTACGATTGTCACGGATTTAAACACTCGAAGGTCGCATCATCATGGAATCACTTGTATTCATCTGACATATCACTCCTAGTATTAAATTTATACAGCCGCCAGGCTGCCTCGTTTCCAGGCGCCGCCTGCACTACTGTTGCAGAGCATCAATGATAGGAAAGCTATCCTTCCCATGACACAACGTGCGCCATTTAAGCGCAAGGAAGGACGCCTGGAGTCGAGGCAGGCCGCCCGACGAGTTCACTTAGTAGAAACCGGCCAGCTGAAATCCCGTCTTTTTAAGGTGGATTTTTACCCACATTCGTGCGCACGTAAATTTCACCCGCGTAACTAAAATAGAAATGTGTGAAAGGTCAGGCGTAAACGTTAAAGTTAATTGAACCTCACCTAAACGTTTACGCGCGGCCTTTCATACATCGCTTATCTATATATTTTATTTACGCGCGTAAAAATTACACGATTGTGGACTGATCCACCCTTAGGCTGCAGACTATCTTGTACTTCCTGTGCGTGACATTTGATGTGCATATTACTACTACAGTAATGATATTCAAAAAGAGTTGTCGGTAGACCAAAAGAAATGCAATGCAACTCATTATGTTAGCAAGATTCCCTGCCAGTATTTCAGCGGGCTAAGCGTGCACGCAACACCTTTACAGGTATTAACGAAGTCGGGATATTCCACAACAGGGTTCCTCAATCCCGTAATCTCGACCCAAAATTTCGTGCAATCCCTTAAACCTGATGTTTTTTTTCGTCATCGCACCTCCAATCCAATCCCGAAACTCGCCCTGATTTTGCTTTAAAATCCCGAATCCCGAGCTTCATGTAAGGGAAATCCCGAATCCCGAGCTTCAAATAAGAGAAATCCCGGATCCCGAGCTTCATGTGAGGGAAATCCCGAATCCCGAGCCTCAAATAAGGGAAATCCCGGATCCCGAGCTTCATATAAGGGAAATCCCGGATCCCGAGCTTCATATAAGGGAAATCCCGGATCCCGAGCTTGAAATAAGAGAAATCCAGAATCCCAGCTTCAATTTAGGGAAATCCTGAATCTCAAAAAAACCCACTGGGGACCCTCAACTGGTTAAACAACACTGTTATCATCTAATTATTCATTGGAATCGTAAATTTTTCTTTATAGTTGATACATCGCCTAAAAGCAGGCTCCGTCGACGGGTAAACCGTCGAGAATCAGAACAGGGCTGGACGCCCTAACCACACCAGGGTTGTCCTCATTACGAGGTGCAAATCTAGGCATTGAAATTAAGGTCCTTGGTCGCCAGTAGCTAGAGAAAATATTCAAAAAGAGAGAGAAATTTTAAACTTATTTGTTGGTGCAAGAGATCATAATAGGACTATTATGGCTCTTGGTTGGTGTTATCCTTTTAATTACCCGGGTTGTTTCTAAACTCGAGGAAGCGCGGTTTTGCTTACTCTTTTAGTGACTGTTAATTGTTTGCTTGTAGGGAGGAAGATCCTAGAAGGCGTGTCATCCTAGCGCCATATATTTTCTCCTTTTAGTTAACTGGATGCAAAAAGTTGTAGTTGTCCCTACGGCTGCGAGAAGAGGCTGCATTTTGCGGTGTCGTGGTGAACTGGCGTGCGAAAAGTACTTTTCGCTGGCCAGAATGTAGCCTCTGCTCGCAGGGTAACTAAGATACCCCGCAAACGATCCTTTAGTTCTATAGAAAAAAACAAACCTGATTGCCGGGATTTCGACCGCCAAGGATCGACAATTTTTCAGTCATTACAACTTTCAAGCGTGCAAGGCCAGTAACCTAGCGACGCAGCGGAAAGCTGAGAGAATAATAGTCCATTTTACCGTTACACTAGGTGAAAACGAGGCTGGAGTTGACCGTTTATTGATACAACCCTTCTCCTTTATTACCGTAATCATGTTGTTCTTATGCTATTTAGTATTTTATAGCAATTTTCATAAAAAAAAAGGAAGGAGGTTTGTATCAACATAAGCTCAAACTCAGCCTCACATTCACTCAGAGGCTAGCGTTCTTAGCTCTGTAAAATAGTTTATTGATGAACACCAATTTCCTTGAGTCAAATCCATCAGGATATTTAACAATTATTCCTCGAGCCCAAATGGGCTATTGACTCAGAGGCCATGAGGGCGAGAGGAATAATTGTTTTAGTAATATCCAACTAGTTGGTCAAAAATATCGAGACAAAACAACTTTAGCTAGCAAAACGCGATTCAGCCGCCATTAGTTTTGTTCTCATAGCCGGCGCTTTTCGCTACTAGTGGGCTATAACATACCGCCTAGTAGTAGCTCAACCAATCAGAACGCAGCATTGATAATAGACCAGTTTATACATCGATAATAATTTTCCATACAAACTCTTACATTACGCTACCCTGCGAGCATCTCGAGAGAGGCTGGGTCGTAAACAAGCCAACTATGCGAATGACAGCAACGCGAACGATTCTGCACATCCTAAAAGCCACGCCGTAAAGAAACTTCTGCTCGCAGGATAACATTACGCTAAGACTACCTGAGAATACCTGTCAGAGAAGGCAAATAATTAAGAACCTTAAGCACAACATCGTTATTTCAGTTAAGAGGACATGGGACCTTTCTCTCTCAAGAAGAGGGAATGCTCTCGATAAATAGAGAAAGAATTGTCTAGTCCGACAAAATAATTTTAGATAATTATTGCGTAAGTTAAGAGCTACATCTTTTTATTTAGGAGAAGCGTGCAGTTTAAATTGAGGTTGGATTCATTTTTACGTATTTAAGAACGTAGCCTATGTTCAGAATTTTAAAAAAAATCTTCTGACCTTATCCAATCTATGTAAGTTTGTTTTAAACGTTTTGGGAGAATTTGTTGAAAAATTAAAATAGTCTTTGTTAGCCTGTATGAGCTTCCACTCATATTTAAACGTTTTCCTTTCTTTGGGTGGTGGGGGTGAAGAAGGAAACAGATTGTGATTCACTTACCAATACGGGAGTTTGATAGCGTGCATTGCTGGCGTATTTTTTTCCTTTGTTTTCACTACAATAAAAAACAGCGCCAAATGAATGGCCGAATGTCTAAAGAATTTTGCTCGAGATTGTAGCGATGTAAAATGGAATGAATAATCTGAGCAGATATTCTATTTTTACTCTTAACCCTGCTTCAATAGAACCAAAAAAACTTCTCAGTTACAATAAGAGGAGCTTTTCATTCACAGAAGTTCCATGAATTTTCCGAACCACGCGAAGAGCGCAGAGTTGACTAACCCTTGGGTAAGGAAACATCCCATCGAAATTTGCCGTTAGATCTGCATAGCCCATGAAGCGTCAAACGTTTCCTCTCGATAGCTCTATTATATTAATCTTTACCGGGACTGCGAGTAGTCTCTTATTTTTCTTTTAAGGCACAGTAGATGGAGAGCATGCGTGAGGTGAGAGCAACGAAGCCGCGAGGAACGAGTGCGGAAGCCCGAGCGAAAAAAAATTGCTCTCTGCGCTCCAATCTCTGCTCCCATTAATTTGCACAATTTAACCTTTTCACTAGCGTGGCGTGTGGCTCTGAGGAAAAAAAGCCAGGACGACCGCTTGCGATCTAAACTTTGCCTGTTGATAATGGACAGAAAAGGTTCCCCATCCTTATACCTTCTCTTGACAAAATTAATGGTGTCTCATTCACATACCTTGTTTAGAATGTTACATCCCTTTTAACTGCTGTAAATGCGCTGTCTTCAAAATATGAAAAATTCCCAAAACTAGGAAATTTTCTCGACTTTTTCACAGCCATAAATTCTTCTGTTAGCCCTTTAAGGTCTTTTTACAGAAGGAAATGACCGTTTTCCCTCCCCTTTTATACACTTCAACTAGTGAAATCCCTCGCATTTCATATACCTGTGGCCTGACGGGTACCTCTTTTGGGCGGAGCCTCCCCCAAATCCTCTAATGGATAGCCACTGAATAGAGCAAATGGAAGTGTTTGCTCGTCTCGATGCAGTTGACATAAAAACAGCAAAGTGGCCGGTTGATGATCAAGGCACCTGCTCTATATATAAATGAAGTTGAGCTTATAAAGCTAATGTGGCAAAAGAGTTTTCTTCTCTATAGGGGGATCCACACTTGGGGCACGAAAACGAGTACCAGGGTACTAGCATAAAATGGTGTTGTTTTCACACCTTATCTGATATGGGATTGTGTACATAGTTGCTCCATTTCTACCCGTCAGAAGCCATTTGGAAGCAGGAGCTTAGCAACGAGTACAAAGCAGTGGACTGCCTCAGAACTAACAAAAACAATGTGCACACAAGGACCCGGAGCCCACTTTCGTGTCCGAGGACAAGGTCGTTGTTACCGACACCGTTCCCGAATTCTAACGTGGGTACTTAAAAAAAGGGTTTGTTGTTTGTTCCGTTTGTGACCGTGACTCGCGTCGGCGCCGTTCCAAGGCATCAAGGATGAACGCTGCCTATAACTCATGATCAGTTCTCAGGAACTGAAGCGGTTCCTGCTTCTCAAGTAACCAAATAATACTTCGTCATAAAACCATAATGTCGAAAAAAACTAAGGAGTTTTCTTTGAAAAATAAAGACAAAAGCGAAGACTAACTAACAGTACTCTGATGAACGTTTGTTGTAATGAGCAAAGAGAAAAGTGTAAGCAACTCAATTTATTACCAGACAAAAGATAAAAATAGCGCATTATTGCTTGTTGCTGACAGTGGGGACGCGGGGAGGGGGGTGTGGTCTTATAAAAACTGACAAGGTCTTGCTACCTGTGATTTAAGATCATCGTTTCAATCAGACGATCGCGTCATTTGGCAGGATCACGTTCAGCCGTTTGCGTTGCCTCCTTTATTTTTCCTTTTCTTCCTTAGCCAATCATTGAAATGAAAAGGGAAGGGCAAGCAAAAAGAATCCACTCTTTTGTTCCAGAAGAGTAGGAAACGTAGACCAATGTGGTGTGGTCCATTTCTCATTGGAGTTGATGGGGGTGGGGGGGGTGGG